AGGAAAAAAAATGATAAAAATTACAGGTGAGGAGCCCCGAGGCTGCAGGCTTTAAAACTTATGTGCGCCTGGATCTGAAACAGCCCCACCCAACATCAGAATAGGAAGGGAGCGTCCATCAAAATCATATCCAAAAAGGTAATATCTGTGCAACTTTAAACAAAAATAAGCTCCTTGAAGGCAGAAACACCTAAAAATAGCATCTAGTTAAACAAGAAAGCTTCAAGTGAACACCTTTTCATGGTATTAGGCATCAGATGTCAAGTACTGACCTGAAGATTTATTGGTTGAGGTTAAATGCTTTGACGGCATCACAGTAAAAGCTCAGGGATTATGTTTGACAAAGCAGTTTGGAGCTGTCAAACCATCCAGAGGCACAATCCACATAGATTAAACTATTAAAGTGGCACATTTGAAGCAAAGAACTACTCTTACCTGTGCATAACTTCTTGAAGTCCTCATAGGCAGTCCCCTGCCCTGCAGGCACGATCATGGAGCCCTCATATTTAAACGCAGCCCTGCAGGAAACACAAAGCTTCAACTCAGCTCATGCTTTCAGTCAAAGTTTGCATCATGTGCACAGAGCAACCACAATGAGGAAAATGCCACAGACCACCCCACGCAAAGCAGCTGCTGTGTTCCTGCACAATAAACACAGGACTACATTAATTATCTCCCCAGAACTGCCTCTGTGTGAGCGTCCAGACAGCCTGAAAACAGTGCAGACACGTTCAGGAGACCGTGTGGACAGTTCATTGTGCAAGGAGGGAGCAGGTGCTGCTTTTAACTGCAGGGCATCTTCAAACTTACTGCGCCCGCATGTGCACATAAAATACACCTTATCCAGTTTGATTCGTTTCGAAGAGCCCATTGTTCATTCGTCACATCGACCAAATCTTAAAACGCCTCTTTTTTTTCATTGAAAATGTAGCGCAGAAAACGGCGTGAATTTAATTTGGAACTCGGATTATATATTTAAAAAATAATTTATTTGTGTGTTATTTTCCCGCCGAAGCGTAAAATACCTTTGTAGGATTCAGTCTCTTCATTCCGTTAAATCTAGGATTCCTTAATTGTCGCGAATACACAAAGTGATTTAAAATTGACGGATTTCTTAACGGGATGCACACTTACCAGTTGGTTTCCGTGTTGTCGTCTCTAACATCGTTGTAAGCCTCTCTGCAAGCCTCTTTATCGATCTGGGTTGCCATTTTTTTTCAGGTTGACAGGAGTTGATCAGTCGCAGTGAGTAGTGGATCGGTCCAAAAGACAGGGAACGTTACACGGTCTTTAAGAAACTGCGGCTAACTTGAAGGGTTGATGCTACACATCAGACGAGTCTCGATCGATTGTAACGTTCAATGGCTCCAGGACAAAATCACGACCGCAGCACTGAAGCAACTGAGCCGGTAGGACTTAACGGGAGACGAAGGTTCTTCTAGTAAAAAATTCGGTTCATTTCCTGGATCTTTGGCCTTTATGGGCGTTGGTGATGTTAGTCAATCAGGTTGCCAGCAGACAGACAGAGAAGTTCCCCCCGGACGCTGCGTTCACCGCCTACACAGTTAATCTCTGCCGGCCGCTGTCAGGCTAACGGAACTGTGCAAATTCCATTTCCGGTTTTGACTTTCAGAATATAACAAAAGTTTGTGAGCTATAAATTAAGACCAGTGAGCTAAGGTCCTTCCCATGTAAGTAAAATAATTTGTTTTTTAAAATGCGCAAAGTTTTACGTAACCTGCATTTAAATAAATCTGGTAATTTTCTATGAATATGATCCGATTTACCAAAATTGCACTGGAGTCAAAATAATATTCATACCCCCCCCCCCCATTTAAATAAAACATTTTAAAGATTCTGTTTTAACCTTCCATTTTCTGAATTTCTAAGCCACATGTTTAAACCAAGCAAAATTAAATCCTAGCTTGTCTTAAGATGAAATAAAACTTTTTTTTAAGAATAAAAATTAGAATCTGTTTTATTTGGCCAAGTTGTGCACAAAGCAATGAACTTGACTCCAGTTCTACTTTGCTTTCAGTTTACAAGCTATTTAAACATGAAGTTACCACTAAAGATCAAGTGACTATCCAAATGCTAATGCATTCAGGAAGACATCATGTGATTTTATTTTCTTTAGTTGCCTGTAAATCTATTTCTAACATATTTGTATTCATGTAACTTTTATAAACAATACACCACTTTAGTTTGTGGAAACAAGTGTCCAGTGCCTGCCTGCAATGCTTATTTGTTTACTTACTTTATAAAGTTATTCAAGCTTCAGTAAATTTATTTTTTAGTTTACTACTTCTTACACAAAACTTTATTTATGTACTTAATGGCTGCTGACACTCAAGGAGGGATGCATGAGAAAAAGGAAATGCATTTTAGTCTTTTATCACCAACAAAACTTAAACTATAATGCATGCAGCTAAGTGGAAATGAACATCTAAATATGTTATGTCTTGTGAGGAAGTTTTGTTGACATACAGCAGGAAAACCCTCCTTCGATATTTTTCAGTAAATATTTTATTGTGAAGGAAAAACAATCAGTTTCCGGATGTGCTTTAATCACATCGTGCAACTTCACAAAGCAAGTGCAATTAGTAATTTGTTTTATTTTCAAAAGCATTTGCTATTTTGTCAGTGATTAGCAATCAAAAATGTCAAAGGTTACATATTTTTGGTATTTAAGGGGGTTGGAGACATCAACGCCTCACAGACACACACGTGCGCGCGCACACACGCACACAAAGCATCACAGTCCATCAAACAAACAAACCGTTTTCTGCCACCTGCTGGCTCCAGACTTCATGTAAAAACTGGTCAGTTTTAAGTAGAACCAACAGCATGGGAGCATAGATCTTTGTTGGACAATGCAACACCAGTTTTAACTGGTTTATAATGTAGCTGCTTTCATATTAACTTGAAACCTTTAAACAGCCTGATCAAAGTTAAATTACATCTGCAATATACCAACTCCTGCTTCTAACAGTTTGCAGGTGGTCTCCATTCATCCAGAAGTGTAAAGCATAGGCTGAAATTATTTTCAATGGCTTTTATTTATCTGGCACTTTTAAACATTTCGTGTCTACTTTGTCAGTTGGAACCTATTTAGTTTGCATAAACTTTAAACTGTTGTGATAACTTCCAGAAAAGGTTAATTCTGAATCTGAACATGTAATAAATCTTGAAAAGAGATGCCATTCTGTAACAGATTCAAATTTTCTGCCAGTTATTAAACAATGGTGCTTGACAGTATGAACCTGAAGCTGTTTAACTGGTTTAGCTGGGTTAGGTCAAGTTTCAGAACAAATCTAGGACATTTTAAATGGGTCTTAAATCCTGAAGTTCTTTTTTACTTGTATTCTCCACTGTAAAGCTCATATTCTTATTATGTGTGTATTATTTTATATAAAAAAAAATGAGTGAACAAATATTCGTTCAGCTTCATTTTATCACTAGTGATCAAATTTCTTTTTAAAACTTCCCCAGGGCCTCCGTTTAAAACAGAATAGGGAACACTTTCTATCTTGAATGTACACTAAAAGACTAATTTTAATCAAGCTCGCGAGAGAACAGCTGTACCAATAATATCATCCGGTTAAACTTCAAAATAAAACACAAAACAGGTGGTAACAAAAATGGTTTTAGATTTTAGGCTGTTTTTCCTCATAGTTTAAACTTTTTATGAACGATTATTTTTTTTTTAAATAAAGAATCTTTCAAAAGCTGTCTGTAAAATATAACAATTCATTATTTTCTTTTTCGCTATCATTACTTGTTTGGCTATACTGTATTATAGGTACAAAATGTATTTATTTCGTATTTTAAACTGAAACTTATACAGTTATTTAAAATTGTTAGACTTCATTAGATATTTTCTAAATTTTACTGTAAAACTGACTTAGTCGTTTTCTTTCGAAATTCCCACCTCATCAAATCAACGTTGAACTTCACGAGCAAAACCCTTTATTCTGAAAGTTCAAACCGGAAGTTTATCACCTTAGCATGTAGCTAAAGCTAGCTGTTGTAAGGTTGTAATACTACACATTTGATCTGTTTCTGCAGTCTAATAAACTGACAATAGATAATAATTTTTACTCGGCAATATGGGAATTATTTGAAGAGATGTCTACGCGAAACTTTGCGGCTTGTGACGTCGTTGAAAACTTAGTTTTTAAGAGAAAATGTTTTGTATTTCTTCGTGTTGTCTCTAAGTTAGAGGATGCTAAGTGAATTTAACCAACAGCCTTCCGAGCCGCTACGTGTAAGTAATGTTTTTAAAACCCACAATTAAGAAATTAAATACTTTGTAAGTAATGTTTTTAAAACCCACAATTAAAAAAATAAATACTTTTTTGACAGCATGGCTGAATTCTATGGTTTCTAGCTTATATGGGGAAAAACACTAAGAACTTTTAAAAGATTTTGACGCCTGACAGTTTATGATGTTACATGATGAACATGCGTTTTGTGTTAAATGGAACAAGTTACTGGCTTCATGGTCATCTATCATTGATTAATAATAATAAACATTAGACCATAGTGGGAAACTCCAACATGTTGGCGTTTACCTAACAAACTGGGTCATGTTATTTGGGTAATTATTTGTCCCTTTAAATGAGGCATAAGGGCTTTAATTTAAAAAAAAAAATGTTTACATATCAGTTAGAAGTTCAAGTTATAACACTGTGTCTGTTTGTTTTTAGATGATGTCTGTCTGAGAGGACAGGATGGACAAGTCCAGCCGCGTGTGTCGACCCCAGAGTCTCAGTGAATCCTCCAAGGTTGGTGTGCTGGTTTGATTTTAGTTCAACTTAAAACTTCACTTTAATGTACCACAAAATAAAACATCAAAACTTTGTATGTGAGAGGCCATAAACAGTCAAAATCTCAATAAATGAGAACAAACGCTCGATTGCAAGATTGGGAATGGTGGTGCAGAGTTTTAGAGAAGGTGGGCCTGTGATCAGAAGATTGTTGGTTCAACTCCAGGTACCTACAACAGCAAAATGTGGGTGGGTTAGGTGAAACACCCACACCTGCCTCCACCCTCATTTGCCCCTTTCTGGGTCCTTGACCCCCACCATCTGATAGATGGCAGCTCTCTGCTCCACATAGAGGGCTGTGGTAGCTCAGTGGTCTGTGGTTGTATCAGGAAGGCCATCTGGCGTAAAAATAATTGCCAAGTCTTCGTGCGACTTAGTTCACTGTGGCGACCCCTGACGATGGGAACAGCCGAAAGAAGAAGAAAACAAAAACGCTTGATTGCAAAATAGTCGCAGATTGACCAAAAAATAGTAAAAAAAATTAATGGCAGGTTCATTATTTAATTTTTTCTATAAGTTTTCAGTGTTTTGTTGTGTAACCAGCAGACCTGAGATGGTCTCAAAGTTTCTGAATAAAGATCAGCTTTCCCAAAATATTTGTAAAAACAAAAACTGCTTTGATAATTGATTCCCCACTAAGTAACTGTGAGCATTTTCCTCAAAGCATTTCCTTTGTTGAGCAGATTTAAGAAATCAAAACTGTATATTTGTAGTTCCATATGGCTCTCTTTACTATGATAAATAAGGTTTTGTGTGACTTGTTGTTATTCCAAACCTTTACAGTGGTGGTAGACACAGCAAAATTTAGTTAAAAGATCTTTAAGAGACTTCGAGTCAACGTGTTTTCTGTGTTGGCAGATATTTTACTCGGAGCACCAGGCTGTGGAGGTTCTGCAGGGCTTCAATGAGCAGCGGCAGCAGAACCAGTTCTGTGATGTGGTGCTGCTCGCTGATAATCAGCAGATCCCCGCTCACAGAGCCCTGCTGGCCATTTCCAGCCCATACTTCCATGCCATGTTCACCTTGGGCATGAGGGAGGAGCATCAGCAGGAAGTATGGAAGAGAATATGACCTTTTTTTTTTTTTCCCACAGTTGTGGGCTTTTGGCTGTTATACCGTGTTGTAAAGTCAGGAATTACAGAAACAGCTAATGCATTACTTTCAAATCCCCAAAACTAAAGGTTTTCCAAGTGTTTTTGGCTTATTTACAGCACAGAGCCCAAGTAAATTGGAACACCAATACTCATATGAATCTAAATGTACAGTGAATAATTTATGTTCTTGCTGTAGATTCACAGTTTGAAAATATTCTAAGCATCAGCTGTGAAAATAATGATTCAAACTGGGAAGATTGGAGGAGTACTTGCCTTTTTATCATATCATGTAACTGATGAACTCTTGCTCTTGCTTGTTACAGGTGGAGTTGGTAGGGGTGTCCTACATCGGTCTGAAGGCTGTGGTGGACTTCCTGTACAGTGGAGAGCTGCTGTTAGATGGAGGAACCATTGACTGTGTACTGGAAGCAGCACACCTTCTGCAGGTAGGACACTGGCTACCTGTTGATCAGGTTGTAGGTTGAAAGTGCAGATGAACAGAGTAGATTGTTAGATTTTTGCTTATTTTACAACACAAAAATAAATTAAATAAAATATAGTGACTGAACACCTTTTATTTGTTTCTATTATGTAATTTCATTTGAAAATGAAAGACTTGATTCTGGTGAGCCTATGAATGACTTTTGAAGCAAAAAATGCACAAAGTTCACGTAAAGCTGCAGTAGAATGACTTTGAACTTCGTTTTTATATGAACATGACGAAGTCAAAACAGCGCTATCAAAAATAACAAAGCACAACAAATTGTTTGATAAAATAAAGATAAGGTTCTCGATTTTATTCTTAAAATATTTTACACATTCTTTAAGCATTACGCAAGTGAAGGGCAAATGATACAGAAGCTTCGGAGCTTGTGTCGCTCTTCTTGTAGTGGGGTGATTCGAATCACTGTGTCGGAGCTTTTATCAAAACACCCCTGACCGATGACGTATGAAACTTTGAACATCATCACTGCTTCACCTCGCTTTTCATTAGTTCAAATGTTTTGGAATGATTGTCACAGAGCGTTTAAATTGACCACACAGTCTTTTCTAAACTTTTAAGGCTGTCAGGGAATTGAAACGGTCAGTTATTCAGTTGTTCTCTTGCTTTAGCTTCAGTTGGCTACCTGATGTCACAGTTCACAGTCAGACTGAACCTGAAAGCTGTACCTGCCTATCATTCCAATCGTCCACTATCTTTACCAGCTCCTTCCTTTCTGGGTCACAGCGTCACTGGTGCCCTTATCCAGTAGTCACTGTGAGAGGTGGGGGACACTTGGACAGGTTGAACGTCATCACAGAGTCACATACAGACAAACGAGACAAACAACCATTAACACTTTCACTCAGGGACAATTTAGCGTTATAGTCAGCCTAACATGCATGTTTTTAGTCTGTGGGAGGAAACCGGAGTACCTGGAGAAAACCCAAACTTGCACAGAGAGACGATGCAAACTCCACCCAGAAAGTTCTCCAGCCAGGATTTGATCCGACAACCTTCTGGTGCGACCAGCAAGCCTGGGCCTCTCAGCAAGCTGGGCTTGCTTCGCTTGAATCCCTCCAGCTTTTTGATGGAGTCTCTGCTCCACTGTGCTGCTGCTTCACCTGCCCATTATGGTTAATTATAAAAAAAAGATTTAATATTTAGGAAACATTAGGATTTAAAAAATGTTTTCCCCTCACTCGCTCTCGTGCAAGGCAGATGCTTTTTTTTCTCTTCCTCCTCCTGACTTTTTTTACTGTCTGACTATGTATCGGAGCTCCTATTTTACACATTTTCCAAAACTAAAACTACTGTCATGGATCTGGTCAGCTGGACTTTCAACGCAATCAATAAAATCTTTTCAACAAAGCCACATGGTTCTGGAGAGCCCTCATGCCCCGCTGAGATGCACACGGCAGGATACGTCATGGATCCATGGGGAGTTTGGCAGTTGATGTGTCTTTCTGTATTGTCTCAGGAGGATGCCAAAGATGTTTATATAATTGGAACCATGATAGCAGGGTTACTGCTTTTTGGCATCGGTGGATTGCAATGTTATCGGCTGTTAAGGAAGACGGCGGCAGCAGTTTCGGCCATGGCAAAACTGCTGAGTCTGTGTGAAGGTTTGGTTCGTGCTTCGAGTACTCAAAATCAGCTGATTTACGAGCTAAACCGTAAGATGGAAGTGATTTGTGAGAATCACAGCCCACCTGCGGCTTCTGGGACTTGCCAGCATGTTGGGGACAACCTTGGAGTGGGCTCATAAGGATAGACCAGTGGAATGCCCACAAATCTGGCCATTTTGGAATCGAAAGTACCAGTAGGACTCGAGGCTGGCAAGGAACCCCAGCGCCTGAGAACTTCTGTGAAGGCTTCTCAGAGCTGTACTGGCTGACACCAACACCTTATCAGGACAATGGACCATCTAAAAGTGCTTCATGGACAAATTTTTAATATCACTACCATACCTTTTTTAATACCACTATCTATCCTCATGGCCTTTTTTCCTTTTCTATCTAAAAAGTATTCTGAAAAAGGATAAGGGGCCGCGCTCTCAAGGAGCAGCAGCAACGTGCACTCCACCCATCTTCGGACGACTGTACGAACATAATCTCACTGTATTTCGGTACAACGATAATAAAGCTTATTCTGATTATGATTATGATTAAAATGCTAAAAGTATGGGGGGAAACGAGTCTGAAAATGGATTTTTGTTTCAATATTCCAAACTACTGAAAGTTAAACATAAGCTGAAATTATTGGTCTTATTTCTCTTTCTTAATAACGTACAACTTGCAGCAAGTCAAAGTTGAAGATTTGTTGATTTTTCTTGTGAATCTTTTAGTTTATTCATAATTATAATGCAGTAACATCAGGTTTTAAGTAAATGTGTCCCCACCTTTTCCTAATCTCAGTGTAAATTAGTAAAAACACTGAAAAATTGTTGAAAATCAGCTTTACTGTAACCTCTGACTGTAGTAGCATGCTACTAGCTTTTATTATAAAAGTGAAAGGGGACAGCTTCCTGATCACTTCTACTTCTATTTGTAGTTGTGTGATTGTATTTTGACACAGTATGAATGTCTACTCTGAATGTTTTCTTGTATGTCCCTAAAATGAAAAAAAAAAAAGTATTTTTTTTAAGGTAACTAAAATTTTAGGAGATGGGGTGGTGGTGGGTGGGGGGGAGTCAACAAAAACCTGACACAAGAGCTTAGAAATGCATCATTATCTACTGCATAATGCCCTTTGGAAATCACTTTGTTGATGCTATATATTCAATTTATGTTTGTCAAACTGTGTTATTTATGATAACCTTCAAAAATTCAACCAAATAAGTTAGAACTTGTGTTTTTGTTACCAAGCTGCTTGAAGCCAAGTGCCTGAGATCAAATTTAAAACGGGTTCTTTCCTAAATTGTCTGTTGTATGTGGACATGTTTCTGGTTCATCCCAAGCGTTTAAGAGCCTTTTCATGCCAAATGATTCAATTGAGTGGCTCAAAATAACATTTCCTTTTGATCTGAAGACTAGACTGAAAGTAAGTGGGAAAAGCTGCTAAAGACCAAAGAAAAAGTTTGAAAGACTTCAGAATTCTAAAGAATTTTACAATTAGGTCTCACGCCTTGTAAGCAAAATATAAAGAATGTATAGACTAATATATATGACTCAGATCTTTTGTGCATTTTCAGCTGTGGCGAGCTGTGGATTTCTGCTGCCAGTACCTGGAGCGGGAGGTGAATGAGGAGAACTACCTGTACCTCCAGGAACTGGCTCAGGTCTACAGTCTGGAGCGGCTCGATGTCTTCATTGATCACTTCATCCTCGCACGTTTCTCCACACTCTCTTTCACTACTGACTTTCTTCTAAGTATTCCGTTGCACAAACTCACTTCCTACCTCTCTTGTGGCCAGGTAAGACCTCCACGTCATTTTTACGTTAATACTGGTAATATATTAGTCAGATGTAAATGAGCAGTTATTGTTGGTGATGGTTAGGTTCAGCACGACAGCGAGCAGGCTCTACTGCAGGCCACCCTGCAGTGGCTCACTCAGAACCCTGAGCGGACCTCATACGCCCAACAGCTGCTCTCCCACATTCGATTCCCCCTGATGCCGGTGGGGGACCTCATGACCCAGGTGCTCCCAGCGGTGCAAGCTCTGCTGCCCAAAGAACCCGGCTGTGAGGCCCTGGTAGAGGAGGCACTGGAATACCATGCCAAGCTGAGTGCTCAACCACTTCTCCAAACTGAACGGACCATGCTGAGGGGAGGAGTGGAGCAGCTGCTGCTCATTGGAGGAGAGGTACAGTTAAATGCTGTTCTATTCAATTCTAATTATTGTGCTTACAGCTGCTTTAGAGAACTCGTAAAATTTGGAAGTCTAAAGAGTTCTGATCAAATAGTGTGAGTTTTCTCAAAAGCTTTTTTTTCCCTCTCCATTTTGAGGAAATTCTTTCAAATTTGGAGCTGAAGTCCATTACGTCCTGTTCTCTTTGCACGTCCAGGTGTTTGAGCGGGGAGAAGACCTGAGTGGCACCGTTTGTTGGCTGGATAGTGAGACAGGAAGCTGGGAGTTGGAGACTGAGCTGCCAGCACAGAGGAGCCACCACTGCTTAGCAGTACTGGGGGGCTTCATTTTTGCTGCTGGTGGCAGCTCATCGAGGGACAACGGAGGAGATGCTGCTTGTAACCTGCTGTACAGATACGACCCACGCCACAATCAGTGGACCAAGGTAAAGGAAAGTTCCTCTTTATTCTGCCCCCATTAAGCACTGTTTAAATGTTTATCATCTTCCTATTATTTGGTGTTTTTTATCAGCCTGGGTGCTGTGACAGTGTGTGATGGTTTACAGGGGGCTCCAATGAACCAGCAGAGGGTAGACTTTTACCTGGGGACTGTGGGAGAGTGCCTCATTGCAGTGGGAGGGAGGAACGGCACCGGAGCTTTGTGCTCTGTGGAGGTTTACTATCCTGCAGAGGACTGCTGGTCCTACGTAGCACAACTACCCAGGTAAGGACACCTTACACACTGCATCTGCTGCTCACGTTTTCTTATAGTTCTTTTTTAGAGAAATATGTTTATATATTAGTTATTTAACACTAACTTTTTATTCATTTATACATTAAAGCATCCCAAAGTCGAGGGATAAACTTGTCCTGTCTCTACAAATAACAACTTAGTAATAAACAATGAACAACAAAACTTAATCTGTGGACACTTTACAAGACCCCATTAGCACACACTTTTTATATTAGTTTTTTATTAATAAGACCACTATTTTTAGATATATAAAATCATTCCCAGTCTTTTTTTTGTTTGTTTTTTTGCTGAAAACATGCATATCGCATTACGCTGGGCAACTCGAAACATTTTATGCTTTTGAAACATTCTGTTTGTGTAAAATATATATTAAAATGGTTCTTTAAAAAAATGTTATTCAATTGTTTGTTCTACTTTATTTAGACTTTTGATGTTCTTTTAAAGCTTGAATAATTAATATCTCAGTGTTAAGTACAAAGTAGATTGACAGGCATCCCTCTATAAATGGTCAGAGTGAAGGTCAGCACTGAAAATTAGCATCCAAACCCCTGAAGACAAACTTTTAAAGACCACTAGAACAACCCCCCCCCCCCCCCCCCCCCCCCCCCCCCCCCC